AGGACACTGCAGACCCTCTCCTGCAGGGCTGGGGTAGGGAGAGGGCCGTGGGGAGAGGAGATTGGAGCAGGGAAACAGCCCGCTTGGGTTGTGATCCCCTAAATAAGTGTGGCTCACGGCCGGCGGGAGCCCAAAGCTGAGACACGGCACAAAGCCCCCCTGCTCCCCCCGTCCCTCCAGTGTCTCACAGGACAAGCATCTGCTCCGGGAGGCCAAGGCGGCCGCGGGAGGGGCCCGGGGGGGCCACACGGGCAGCGGTGGCAGCTGGCGCTGTCACTTTGCCGAGGGACACCGAGGGCAGCGAGTCCGACCGGGGTCCGGCCCCTCGCACGCCCCGGGGGATGCTCGGCGGGTCCGGCACCGGCACTCGCGACACTTGTGATGGACCCCCCCCCACCTTGGGACGCGGGGAGAAGGCGGCCGGGAGCGCGCGCGGACGGACGGAGGGAGGGAGGGAGGGATGGACGGACGGACGGACGGACGCAGCGCTGCGGTAACGCCGCCCTCTAACGGCCACCGGCCCCTCCGCTTCCCCGCCCCCGGCGGGACCCCCCGTGCCCAGGCGGGGCTCACCTGCACGTGGACCATCCCGCAGTCTCCGCAGGCGTCCGCGCAGCCCCCCGGCAGCACCAGGCACAGAACCCCGCGGCCGCCCCGCTCCAGCTCCGGCGGCCCCGCGGGGGGCGAGGCTCCCCCCGGGATGCTCTGCCCCGCCAGCACCGGAGCTCGGCTGGGAGACCCGCCGGGAGCCTGCGGGGAGACCCCGCCGGCCGCGGGGATGGGGGGCTGCGGGGAGACACCCCCCTTCCCCAACCAACCCCCGGCGCCGGGGCCTCGTCGTGCGTCCCAGGCGGTAATTCCCGTGTGCCCGCCCCTGCCTGGCGGGTCACCAGCGCGGGGATTAGGGAGATCAGGAGAAAGCTCCCGCTCCCGCACGCTCCCGCCGCCGCCGCCACGCGCGGGCCCCGCCGCAGCCTCCCCCCGGCCCCGCCGCTGTCACACATCGACAGCGATGTGCGCCCCAAACGTGCCGCCTCGGCCCAACGGGAGAGCCGCGGGAGGCGGGAGGGGAGGGGGGTTTGGGATCCAGGGATGCTCCCGGCCCTGGGTACCCGCAGCTCCCGCAGCTCGCGGGTGAGCGGAGACCCCCGAAGCGCAAACCAGAGACACACACGGGCTCCCGGAGCAGCGCCGGCAGCCAAACCCTCGGTGCCGAGCTGCCAGCAGGAGGCAGGGGATGTCCGAGTCATCCCAAACTCACCCGAGTGATCCCAAACTCATCTGACTGATCCCAAACTCACTCGAGTGATCCCAAACTCATCTGACTGATCCCAAACTCACCCGAGTGATCCCAAACTCACCCGAATCATCCCAAACTCATCCCAGCGATCCCAAACTCACCCGAGTGATCCCAAACTCATCTGAGTGATCCCAAACTCACCCAAGGGATCTCAAACTCATCCGAGTGATCCCAAACTCATCCGAGTCATCCCCAACGCACCCGAGTGATCCCAAACTCACTCCAGTGATCCCAAACTCATCCAAATCATCCCAAACTCACCCGAGTGATCCCAAACTCACCCGAGTCATCCCAAACGCACCCGCACGCACGAGGTGGGCACAGGGGGAGTGGAAGGCTGGGGAAGGGGTGGGGGAAACCACAGAACACACGCTCCAGGTGGGCATCACCCGGCAAAGCAAAGCCTTGTCCCCAGCGTGTGGCACAGGGGACAGTCCTCTGCTGGCCCCGGGTGGGGGTGAGCCCTTGGCACTGCTCCCCAGGGTGGCACAGGGGGGCACAGGAGGCACCTCTTGGGATACAGAGTTGGAAAACACACTGCCAGTTGGAACTGGCACCCAGTGGAACTGGCACCCACCGAATTCCCAGACTGTTCCATAGTCCCTCTCCAGCCACCCCAGCTGCTCCCTGCCACCACAAGCTGCTCTTGGGGAGAATTAAGGGGTTCAGGGGGGAAGAACTGTGTGTGCCAGGACCTGTATGGGTGGAAGGTGGCCTGGTGCCATCAGGGACCACGGGGTGAGGAGCCAGCGCAGGTAAAAGGGAGAACTGCAGGAACTTAATCAAGAAAAAAAGGGGAAAAAAAATCACTAGCTGTTTGTAAGGCACTTGCTGAGGGATCCCACGAGGGATTCATCCAGAGTGTGCTCCTTATGCAACGGGGGGAAAATCCAGCATGACATTTTTGGGGGGAGAAATCGCCCTTTCCCAGGAGCCCCTGAGGGTGAGACAGGGAGGAGGTGTCAGATCCCTGAGGACAAGGCAGGAGTGATGCCAAGCAATCCTGGCTCAGTGTCACCCCCCCTCCTGGGGGTGCTGGAGCCCAGGGCACGGCCACACCAGTCACCCCTGAGGAAAAGGAGCTGGTTTGCTGCGGGCAGGAGGCTCCTGAGGGCTACGGAAAAATAATCCGGCACGAGAATATCACGTAGCTCTTGTTTCTCTAAATAGGTTATTTTTCCACTGCCTCACAAAGGCCCCAGTATCTCCTCTCTTCTTATTACTCTTTGTGTCATATGCAGTTAATTATTCATCCCCTTTCTGTGCTGCCCTGGGAGTGGACACGGACCTGCTCTGCTCTTACCTCCCTCTGGGTGCTTCTGTCCCAGCGGGATCAAAGCTTTGGCCACAACCCCAGAGGGCTCACTGGGACTGGGCTCCTTGCAAGGCAATGCCACAGGCCACAGGGAAGAAATTTTGGCTCTGATTAACAACCTGCTGCTCCTGCCCCTGCGTGGGACCTCGATCTGGGCTCAACATTCCAGCGGGGAGGAGCGGGGAAGGGTCAGAGTGCCCTGATTTGCACACAGGAAAGGGGGGAGAGGAGGACCTGGAGGGGGCAGAGGAGGACCTGGACAGTCATTTCTTGCAAGGCTACTGACACAATGACGTGTTCATCCTCTGGGCCCAGATTCCCACGTCCTGGAGGTGGCAGGGGAGCAGGGCTGGCACCCACCGCACACCATGAGCGTCAGCTGCAGCTTGGCACTGCCACTGCCCGGGGAAACAGAAAGAAAAACTATCTGGTTGAGCCTTTTTCCATTAGATCAGAGGGCAACAGGAGTCTCCAGGTCAGATCTCCCTCTAGGAGAGCAAGCAGAGAGGAGTGTTTGGGTGGGGGGCGCGTGGGAAGCATCGCTCCCATCCCCTGCACCCGCTGGGTGCCACTGCCTGGGGGAGCACATGGATCTGACACCCCACTGCTGTCCCACGCTGGCAGCTCTGCCCAGTCCTTGCCATCCCATGACACAGCTATTCCTGACAAAGCCACCCAGTAGGAGCCCCCGTGGGATGCCAGAGCCTGCCTGCCCATCTCCTCATGCCAAGCTTTGCCAACTCAAGGCTGGTATTTCCACGAAAATTATAAAAAAAAAAGAAGGATACTTTTAGCCCTCAGGGCTGCAGAGAGCAGTTTTAGAGTGGGACACCCCCTGAGCTCCAAAGGCCAAGGAGAGAAGCCAACATGGAGAATCCCACCAGCTCCTGGAGCACCTCTCCCTGCCTGCCCCATGAGCTCAGTGTGCCTGCTGGGCTAATCTCGGCTGGTTCTTAATTAATGGCACTAAACACTAGATGGAAACACCATCCTGTCCATCAGCTCGGCATGGACTGCTTCAAAAATCACTTGGGATGGGACAATTCACAGCTCAACCCGTACAGGTGCCCAGCACTGGGCTGCCAGGATCCCCTCAGACCCCGTGCCAGGGGTCCCATCCCACTGGCACAGAGCTCTTGCCAGGTCCTTTCTTCTTTCCCTCAAATCCCTCTCTGGGAATCGGACCAGTGCATGTCCCTGCCTTCACTTCCCCACAAGAGAAGCATCAACTCCAGCAGCTCCAGACCCGACTGGTTCCCATCTGCTGTCTGGTGCCACCAGCGCTGCCCCAAGGGACAATCTCATCCCAGCAGCACTTTGGGGTGCTCTGCACCCATCCCTGTCCTGAGGGACAATCTCATCCCAGCAGCACTTTGGGGTGCTCTGCACCCATCCCTGTCCTGAGGGACAATCTCATCCCAGCAGCACTTTGGGGTGCTCTGCACCCAGCCCTCCCCTGGCTCTGCAGTGTGTTTTCACCCCAGCCCGGGGACAGTCACAGAATCACAGAACCACTGAGGTTGGAAAAGCCCTCTAAGATCATCGAGTCCAACTTGTGACCTCTCCCCACCTCGTCACCCAGACACAATGAGTGCCACGTCCAGCCTTTCCTTGGACACCTCCAAAGATGGTGACTCCACCATCTCCCTGGGCAGCCCATTCCAACGTCTAATCACCCTTTATGCAAAGAAATTCTTCCCAATGTCCAACCTAAACATCCCCTGGAGCAGCTTAAGACTGTGTCCTCTTGTCCTGTTGCTGAGAGGAGAGCCTGACTGCCCTCCGGCTCCCCACTCCTGCCAGGGACTTGTAGAGTGGGAAGGTCCCTCCTAAGCCTCCTTTTGCCCAGGCTGAGCCCCCCCAGCTCCCTCCCTCCCACAGCCCCACAGCCCTACCTTATCGGCCAGGCCCTCGGTGTCCTCGGTGAGCAGGTAGACGGCCCCGCTCTCGGCCAGCAGGATGGCAGTGTCCGTGGTGGAGGAGGACCTGGGCCTGCCCTGGTGCTGATGCAGGATGGCCGTGAGGCCGCTGTCCTGGGGGGCCTTGCGGCCGAGGTGGGGGCTGCCCTTCTGGGGCTCTAGGGAGCCGCTCTTGGCGCGGCGGCCGCCGCTGTGCAGGCTCGTGCCGCGCTTGATGGAGGGCCGGGAGCGGATCTGCTGCAGCACGCGGTTGAAGGCGGTGGGCCGGGCGGGCAGGTCGTGCAGGGACACGGCGTAGGACACGCGGTGCATCTCCGGGGAACGCTCCTTCTCGTCGGGGGACTCGTGGTCGGACGCGCCGGGCGGCGGCGGCGGCGGCAGCGAGTCCTGCGGGTTCTGCTGCTGCTGCTCCCGCTCCCGCGAGCGCCGGCGGCTGTGGAACAGGTGCTTCAGGCCGTGGCCGAACATGGAGCCCTCGGACAGCTGCTGGATTTTCTGTGGGACAGGGGGCAGAGAGGAGAACAAGTCCCGTGGCTGCCGTGGCATCGCCCCGCTAACGGCGCCCGCGGCTCCGAGGGACGGAGCTTCGCGTGGGAGCGAAATCGGGTCCCGATTTTGAGGGGGTAAAAAGAGCTCCTGGAGGGTTCTGGGGACCCCCCAGGCCGTCCCCAAGGGATCTGCAGAAGGGAATGAGCCCTGCTGCCAGCGCTGCACTTACACCCATGGAAAATCCTAAATATCAGTGGCCGTTTGTTGGCGCACAGGGCTGAGCACGGTGGCTCGGGAGGGCTCAGGTGCACATTCCACCAGCGTTCCACATGACAGGGGGTCTCCAATGAGCCCTGGTTACCCCTAAATTAGCAAGAAGAGCAGAAAGACCCTCAGAGTTTGGAGCCAACATGCTGCACAGAGACCCCAACCCCGCAGGCAGAGGGCATGGAGCAGCCTTTTCCTTCACTAGGAATGCCAAGGTTACTCCCAGCTTTGGAGCCTCACAGGAGCCACCTGCTCCAGGAAGGATTGGAGGGGTGGGGGGCTTTTCCCCATGGGATTTTCCATGGTCCAGGCTGGCCTTGCCTTGCCTATGAGGGTAAAACCACAGCTCAGGGCCCTGTGCCACCAAATGCAGCCCCTGAGGTGTTCCTCTCCCAGGGCTGGGACTGCCATTCCCACGGAGCACAGGGCTGTTCCCAGGAGGGCTCCCGGGAATGGGGGTGGCCAGGGCCACGCTGCAGTCATGCAATATGGATGGTGGAACAGATCCTGCTCCCGATTACAGCCCGCACAGGTTTCCCTGCAGCCACTGGATCGCCCAGATTTGCATCCCCGGGAGGTTTTGGCCGCGTGCCCTCTGCACCGTGTGCCCAGCCAGGGGGGCAGCAGCGTGGGCAGCAACTTCCAGCATCTCCAAAGGGCTCCCAGATCCCCCCATCCCTGCTCCATCACGGCTGCCAGGCAGCAAGGAAAGGCTCTTGGGACATCCAAAGCTCCTCTCCCCTCCCCGAGCAGCCCCAGGAACCCGGCGGATCACAGGGCACGGGGCTGCCCTGCTGTTCCTGCTGTTCCCTGCCTCGACTTTGGAGTCAAGCCGAGCATTCCCCTGTTCTGAGGATGCCAATCCCGACCCTGCTGACGTCCTGGGCCACTTCACCTCCCATTTACTGTGGCAGGACCGTCCCCAGGGACGCTGGTTCCCGTGACAGCAGCTCCTGCTCGGAAACCAGCGGGAGCTGGGAGCACTTGGCAAAGGCTCCGGGATTTTGGAAAAGCTCTGATGTTCCCAGACACGACCTCCAGGAGCTGCAGGCTGAGGAGGATTTCACAGCCATACAGAAAGGACTCCTTCTCCTAAAAAATCCCAGATATTAAAGCCACAAGGTCCAAATCCTAATTCTTATCCCACCTGCAACGCTGACAAGGAACCAGCAACGAGGTTCCCGTGTCACTAAACTCTGCAGGCAAAGCCTTTAATCCTCCCCTCAGCCATCCATGAGGAGAATATCCACCCTTTTGGTTTTTCCTGGGAAATATATAATAAATCTACGGCAGCTGAAATGCTACTTGAGAAAATAGTGATTTAAATTTTTATTCTATTTATAGAGTTTCTATGGAAACAGAGGCTGCATTAGGTAGGTAATAACACTAAACCCCCAGATTTCTCCCCTCGAGGGCATGGCAGACCCTCAGGGGCACACTCAGCTCTTTAGAAGGTCCAAGTGAAAAGAAACAACCAACTCCCTTCCTCGAGGGTGATGAAAACAACATAAAAGTGGAGCTGGCAGGGAAGGAGAAGAGGTTTTCCCAGCAGCAACAGCAGAGGTGGGAGCCAGAAGCCCTCAGGTGTTTTTGGTCCAACAGCTCCACCTGACTGAAATGAGCCTTTTAAAACAAACTCTCCTCAGGCCCTTTCCAAGTTTTTCCTGAAAGGACCTTTCAGGGGCTCTGCAGGCATGGAAAAAAAAACAGGAGGAGGGAAGCAAAGAGAGGAATCCCAGCCCTGCTGCTCCAGGCTGGAACCCACATGGCTCGCAGAGCTCAAGGTTTGTCTGCATGGAGCTGTTGGGAGTGGTGGCCACAAACAGGTGGTTCTGCAGAGAATCTGCTGATGTAAAAACTCTGTTTTCTCCTGTTACTCTGGGAAATTCCTGCACTTCCAAAGCAGAGGCATTTTTCTGGCACCAGACCACTCGTGGCTCGGGACGGAGCGTCTGCACGGGCTGCTTTTGGAACAGCAAAATAATAATAACTGAGGCAGTGGATACAGAGATTAATTTCTCAGTGTGGACAGCTGTGAAACACTGATTTTAATGCCAAAATATCTGTATTTATTTGGACTTTCTCATTAATGCAGCCAGGGTCTCCTGCTTGGTGGTGGGGACTTGTTTCTGTGGAGTTCAAAGGAGCAGCCCCTGCTCCACCTGCACTGAGAAGAGCTGGGAAAAAAACCCATTTTAACCCAAAGCAACATATCTTGCAGGAAAACTGTGACTTGCATGGCTGTTTTGTCTTGGCCTCTGCCCTTTGGCAATATCCCATGGGAGAGCCAGGTGCTGCCCTTGCCCACTGTGGCTCTCCAGGGCCGGTGTTCCTGCCACTGAAACCTCCCAGTTTCCCCCTAAATGGTTTTCCAGCTCTGCCCCGACATCCAAACCTCTTACTCGGCTTTCAGACAGACACACAAGGAGGGGATCTTGTTGCCATGACCTTCTAGCACGGCCACATGCTGCGAAATCCTGCTCAATTGTTATTATTACTATTAATTATTTACATCCCTGGCCCGCCCAGAGGCTCCAGCCGAGACTCTGGGACTCTTTGAAGCACTGCACAGGCACAGGGGAAGTCCCATCCCTTCCCACCCCATCCCATCCCTCAGCACTCCTTATTTTAAGGCACAGGGGGTTCATTCCCCCCCTGGATAGGGGAGAACACATCTCACAGCCCCCAAACAGCAGCAGGAGCCAACAGGTCCTGCTCTTCCCTGCGTGGGGTTTCCAGTCCTCCTGCTGCTTCCTCCAGCTGATCCTCCTCTGGATCCCCACCAAGGGGGTCCTAAAACCCCCCAGCACCCCCCAGCCAGGCTGGGGGACAGGCTCAGAGTTGTCCCCACGGGGTGACAGCCCCGCTGCCCCTCTCAGCCCCACCCCACAGAGCACCCCGAGCTCCCGTTCCGCCGCTCCTCCTGCTGCCAAAAAAACGCCAAGGCAAACGTGGAGCTGTTCTAAAACTGCAAATCAGGCACTCCCCCACACGCACACTGCTCCTCCCGGGGCCAGCAGGAGGGAACAGACATGTGACAACCGTTAGTCATGTTGGTTCAGGCACTACCGACACGCTGGAGTGACAGGCAGCTCCCGGAGCCTCTTCCCGAAAAACAGGGAATTCGCTGCCCAGGTGTGGGGGGCTTCAGACCCCTCCCGAGCTCCCCATCCCAGGTGACATTTCCAGGGTGAGATCTCTGCTGCTGGTGCTGAGAGGAGCCAGATGTGCCAGATGTGCTCCTGGGGGACCGGTGCAGCTCATGGCCGCCTCTCCCGTGGCTGTCACCTCTCAACGGACTGGGGGGATGCTGAGGGCTGAAATCCAGTGGGAGGCAAGGATGGGGATCCTGGGGGGACCAGATGTGGGATCACAGGCAGCTGGGCGTGGAGCAGCCCACCCCACCACCAGCCTGTTCCCACTGGGATGCCAGTGCAGCTCCCAGGAGGGCCCCACGCTGCCTCCCCTCCCGGCAGAAACTCCAGGGAACACCCTGCCTGGGGGGATGCTCTGCCCTCCCTCAGGGGCCAGGGGGTCCTGGGGTGCAGGAGAGACCCCCGGGGGTCCCTGCCAGCAGCCCCAGAGCTTTGTGTGGGCGATGCCCCGGGGAGGTGATGGATGTGGCTGCTCCAGGGGCTGAGCTGCTCCGCTGCCTGACAACAGCTCCATCCATGCCAGAGCCACAGGGGAGCCAGCTCACCTTGGCCGTGTCCTTTCAGCACCAAAATATGCCTGGAAAATTGTTCGTGCCCAGGATTAAATATAAATGTAGCTCAGGGTTTAGAATAGGGGCTGGTGAGCTTTATGGAGAGGAGGAATCCTCCCCGTCCTCCTGGCATTGCCATGAATCCCATCAAGGGGTCTCCACCCCCACATCCATCCCCTGGGATCTCCAAAAAAAACCAAACCAGCTGAGTGGGAGGAAATGGGAGGTTTATGTTTCACTCCATCCCCTTCAGCCACCCCTGTCCCAACCCCATCGCTCCCAGTGCTGGGAAGTGAAGTCCTGTGGTGGGGCCTCCCCTTGTCCCTCACCTCCCTCCTCCTCAGGAGGGGCTCCCCAGCTCCACAAAGCCCAGGGGAAGCATTTTGTCCATGGATGTGGGGTTTGGATCAGGCCCTGAGGAGTGGGAAGAGCTTAGGCCAATGCCTCTGGATTCCTGCTGATCTTGGGTCTCGGGTTCAAAGGAAGGAAAGCCAGGAGCCATGAAGACCGGGATCGTGAAACTGGAGATGGGAATGATGTCAGGCTTCAACTTTCAGCCCTTGGCCAGATCAGACTGGGGAGAACAAGAGAGAGACCCAGGGGAAACACTCAGAGGTGCTTGGGGACAGTGGGAGTGGGACCAAGTGGTGCTGGGACACCACGAGAGGCTGGATGTGTCCTTCTGCAGTGCTTTGCATGGCTCCAGTCCCTCTGCTGCAGAGCACAGCCATCTCTGCCACCTGCTGTATTGTCGAGCAGAACTCTGTGTCACACACCAGCCCTGCTCCTTGCCAGAACTTATTTTTTCCCCTCTTTTCCCCTAACGGAGCCCTCGCTGCTGGCAGAGCAGGGCTGGGGAAGGCAGAGCTGCCACGCATCTGCCGGGGTTCAGGGATGGAGATGACACCAGGCAGCCTGTTGTTTCCAGCTTGCCAGCTCAAATCCATCTTCAGCTGGGCAGCAAAGGAAAGTTTTCACTGCTCCACGGGGAGCTGAGGCTGTCGGGTTGGTGGGTGGCACCGCGCCAGCCTGGGCACAGCAGAGGGACCACCCCACTGTGGAACCACCCCGCTGTGCAGCTCCAGAGGGGGTTTGGGGTGGGAAAACTCTCAGATTGTACTAAAGATG